AGAGAGAGAGAGAGAGAGAGAGAGAGAGAGAGAGAGAGAGAGAGAGAGAGAGAGAGAGAGAGAGAGAGAGAGAGAGTTTTGTTGCGTTTCGCGCGCGCGCGCGAGAGAGAGAGAGAGACCTGAAGAGTTGGGCAGGCAGAAGATAGCCGACGCTGAAACAGGGCCAACTTGAGGGCACGCCTGCTTTCATCTGTGCCCTTGCGAAAGTAACTGGAGGCGATCATTGGTGAGTGAAAGGAGATGTACCCTGGCAGCAGCAGTCTGCAAAAACTGAAAACAGGACACGCACATGGATCAGCGTAACTCCCTTCCACAAAGGTCCTCCTTTTACTCCTGCGAGTTTTGAAGCAAACAGATGATGAGAAGTCAACTTTGACCAAGAGTGGCAATCCAGTCCAGGGAGCAGCTGTATGCAAACACTGAAACCAGAAAACACAAACACATAGTACCTTCTTTTTCAGTCCTCAAAACCCCAAGTCAGCTGTGCCTGCCTGGTCGCTGAACCGTATACAGTACGTAGTACCACTAACACGTACCATGCACCTAAACCTGCTGAACCACAGCCTACAAGGCTACAAGATCAAACTTCAAAACCTATTTTTTTTCCCTCAAAGTTTTTGTACTATGTTTAGTATTTGCATGGTTACGATCTAGACGTCCGGACCGCAGTGCAGACGGTCTGGGTCTGGATGTCCGGGTCCACAGTGTCGGGATCCATCCCCCCACCTCCACCTCAAAAAAAATTCCGACTTAAAGAAAAAAAAAAGGAAAAACGATATGTTATGCAGCATTGCAGTAAACTTGTTTTTGGGCTGAGGACCATCTGGAAATTCCAAGCCAAATCCAAGGAAAAAATCAAAACGTTTTTTTCTTTTTTTTAAGGTTTTTTTCTTTCAATTCGGACAGTCCGGAGCAGTCCAGACAGAGGTCCGGCCGGACGTCTGGACGGGTCCGGTGATCGGGTCGGGCATAACCATGGTATTTTGTCAATTTTGGCATTTTCTCATTCCGTAAAAAGTAAGGAATACGATTCTCTGGAAAAGTGTTCACACTTCATTGCTAGGTAAAGTTCTAGCGCTAGACAACTCTATTATAGCCATGCTGTGGTATGCTACCTCCACATGGTTCCCCTCAGACACTTTCCAAAGTCAGATCAGGAAAAAAACACAACAGCTTTCCTCTGGACAGGACATCCTGACAACCAACACTTCATTCACAAGGTAGCCTGGCAAGTAGTCACGCAATCCAAGGTTAAGGGAGGCTTAGGCCTCCTAGATCCGGCCCAACAGATCCAGGTCCTTCAAATCAAGTGGGTCCTAAGAATAACCCTCCAAGACAGCCTACACTGGGCACCTCTAGCCCATAACCATATTGGAGAACTCGCCCATTCAAATCTCCTAACAACATGTCAGGGCTTTTTTGGATCTTCAATAAACATTGGCCACTTCCCGAACGCAAAAAGAATCCAAACCTACAGCCACCCCATGACGTCACAAATGAGAACGAAACTGCGAAATCCCTATGGTCACAGATCCTACAAATTTGGAGAAACATTTTCCCCGAGAACAGGATAGGCCCAAAAAAAGAGATGAAGTACTCAGACAACCCCTCCTTGGAAACTCTTGGATAAAAAATGACAAACGAGAAAGCTTCCATCTCTCAAAATCAGAGGCCAAATGGGGTCACTGGGTAGAAAAAGGAACAAGGCAAATCCAACATCTCTGGGAGGACACAACCAACACATGGAAATCTGAAAAAGACCTAGGGACGACACTGAAAGGGACTCACCACCTCCAAGAAAATATAAACCCAATCATCGAGAGCATTCCTATAGAATGGAGACGTTTACTACGAACGGAGCAGAAATGGCAATACGGGGACTGGGCGGTAACAATGGCTCATGGAACTATCATCGAGGTCCTAAGATTCGAAAGCCTACGAGAACCAGAACAATAACTGGGTCTGCTGCGATATCTTTACCCTCAATGAGCCAGACAACCCAGCAAGCTTCCTCAACACAGAAAGCAGAGCAGAAGCATCATTCATATCCAAAACACTAAAGAGAATCAGGGTAATCGAAGGGGAAAGGAACAGGTTCAACAGAGACTTTAAGCCTCTGTCAAGTATTCAGGAAATAGAAATAGATCCAACAGAATGGACCTAGAGCACCCCCAGCCGTCTCTCCTCCATAGAAAAACTCCACAAACTAACCGATTACAAACCAAAGCTAGGCTACCATCCCTTTTCTAAACCTAGCTCAGTAACCAAGACCCTACAACGACGGACAAATGACAGAAAATACGCCAGACGAAACTCAAATCTCAACCCCTTGGCCAGCTATTTTAAACTTGCCAGCCTACCATGGCAGATAGCTTTCAGGGCAGTACCGGTGAATCACTGGCTAGCACAAAGGCGCAGTAAAGAAAACAGAACAGAGCAAGATTCTTGGTGCAAAGTATGCAATCTACAAACCCCGGAAACTCTAAACCACTGCTTTATCGACTGCCCAGAGGCCAGGAAGCTATGGCAGGAAATAGAGAACACCTAGTGTACCCTATCTAATAAGACTATCAATGACATGAATCACATGATAAACCGCGGCACTTCATTCCTCGAAGTTAAACAAAACCCACCCACCCAAGGTTTTGAAGCATTCTTCTTCTCCCTTATCAGGAAAGTAACACTTTGGGGATTATGGAAAAGATGATGCGACAAAACCTTTGAAGACCACCCCAGTGACCCACCAATCCCGAGAACCCAATCACCACAATAAAGAGCATAATAGTGTAATGACCCGCCAAAACACAGACTGAGAACACTGCTGATTTCTGGGATTTGCCGCTGGAATGAATGCCTTGCTGAGATTCCCACATTCTGCTGTGATTTCCATGTCTGTGAGTGTGTGCGTGCCTGCTGGTTTGCGTGCCTGCCTGAGTGCTTGTTGGCTGAGTGTGTGTGTGGCCCGCAAGGGTACTTGTTGGTTGGAAGGCCCCGCAGGGCCAGTACTTACCTGTGGCCGTGACTTTGAGGGTTGCAGGGGGGAAAACAGTCAAGTAGCGGGGGTAGGCCCGCGACACTTAGAGCAGCGGGGAAAACACTCGAGTAGCAGGTAGGCCGGTACCACTCAAGTAGTGGTAGGAGTGTCGGGTACTGGAGGCCGAGCAGAAGAAGACAAAAAGTTGGCATTTTTAGAGGCCCAGTAGCGGTAGGATAGAGGTAGGACGGTACCAGTCTAAGTAGCCCGGGTCTAGGGCCTGTACGGAGGATAGCAGAGCCTGCAATGATGTTTCCCTCCGAAAGGGAGGAGGTACCGGTTGCTGGGAGGCCACTCGGCCTAGGAAGTCACCGCCCAAGAGGCCAGTAGGCCGCTATATCTCCAGGGAGGGCGAAGAGCTCTTCCTCACTTGCGGTGCGCAAGGATTGGCGACATGCTGCTGGAGCACAGCGCTGGCTGCTACAGCGCTGCTTGGAGGTGAAGGGCAGCTGGAGCTCAGCCTGGCTATGGCGAGCGGTCCAGCTTGAGGAGGAGGAAGAAGGGGGCTAAGGAGGAGAGTGGCGCTGCATCTGGAAGGCTCCAGTTGGGGTAGTGCCGTACCAAGGAAGCTCGAGGCAGAGTCAGGCATGGCGGACCAGTCAGCAGCATCATAGCTGCTTTGGGTTGTCCTTTGGACAGGAGCGCAACGCCATAGCTGCTTTGGGTTGTCCTTTGGACAGGAGGGCAGGGCCCTCAGTAGTCCGCCATAGCCTATGCATGAGAGAGGAGGCAGAAGGAGGGAAGCCATAGCTATGGTGGACTTGTTGTTGTTGTTGTTGTTGTTGTTGAGTCAGCAGTAAGAGGGAACTTCGGATATTGATTCTGGTTCATCCATTCCTTGTTATTATTATTATTGAGAGAAGAATAAGATTGGCGAAGTGAAGGGGGAGGAGGAAGGTGGAGAGAGAAAGGGGAATTGTCATCGGTCTTGCTGGCGTACATTTTCTTCTTCTTCTTCTTCTTCTTCTTCTTCTTCTTCTTCTTCTTCTTCTTTCTCTCTCCTCTGGTCTCTATCTCTTTGCAAGTGCTTTCATTTCTTTCGCAATTGGGTGGCGTTGTCTTTCATTGTGAATTGGCACTTTGAAAATGACCACGATCGTAACAATAGAAACAGAACTACACACGCTTTGGAAAAAAAAAACAAAAGCGAATTCAAAACGCCCCTGACAAAAGGCCAGAAATAACCCAAAAATTCACAGCCCTTAAATTAGGATCAGGACACCTAGGAATTATAAAGAATGCAAGCCTAACCCTTACAAACTAGCTAATCATCGCACCCACATACACCAGCAGCATCCCCCTTTACCCCCTAACATCACACTTCCAAACACAGACCAACCCTCACCAAGATCCCAACACCCATCCTACACAACCCCCTCAATAACCGCCACCTGCCCCAAACAGTCCCAATCACACACCACTATTCCCAACCACTCCTACAAGAGAATTCCCACAACTCCCTCCACACAGCCCCACAAACCAGTACAAACAACTTAGAAACTTTGGGTCGGAAGCAAGTCAAAGATTAAGACATGGAGGCTATCTTAGGCAGGAGCGCACTAGTAAAAAACTCGGTCCGAGTTTAAGACTTGTGCAAGTTTCTCTGAAACAAAGTCTGATAGGGTTTAGGGTTTTGTCATAGACTGCAGCGGAAGGCCGAACCAGCAGTTCCAGCAAGTAAAGAGTATCTGACAGACAAGGAGCTGAGAGGAACAGTCTGGAAAGAGCCCAAGTAGACAAGCAACGAGTATCAGAGCAAAGAGGAAACCAGTATAGCAACCAAAGAGCAGAAATAGAATAGGCTAAACTTAGGCAGGGCCGCAGGGGTGCGGGGTAGTACATCCTGCCTTCCAGAAGTAATCAATGTTGTCCCTAGGACCTTCCTACCATAAGGGGGAGGAGCATGAGTGAGTGCTCATTGTATTCCATTTGACTTGCCGGGGGAATAGGAACCGAACTGATGCTCCTTCCCCCCCCCCCCCCCCCCAAAAAAAAAAAAAAAAAGCAAAAAAAAAGGGTAGTCCAGAGGAAAATAGCAGTAAAAACAGTCTTCCGAGAGAAAGGAAGGGTATACAGCCCAAATAGAGAGGAAGAGGGTTTAGGGCTTCGGGCTGAAGAACCACAGATGTTTTAGTGAAACAGTTTTCACCTTTGGCAGTAGCCGATGCAGAGCCCAGGGGTCGATCCCTTTACCTCAGCTTACCTGTGTACAGTATCTGCACAGTTCCCTGGAGTT